ACTAGCACATAACATAACATAATATTGCACATTCCTTAACAAATATGAATGTGCAAACAATATATATTGMTAGTTTCCTGCTCCTTCACTTATTATGACTAAACTTCGTGGTCCGTGGTATGCCAAAGCCTACATGTAACTATATGTAACTGTACTGTATGTAGTTATATGAAATGTTTTGATTTTATTTCTAACTAATTCACAAATATACCATTAATACGGACAATTTTACTGCATAAACATTAAAATAATACCTTACCGTTACCTGATGATACAAAAATGGATTATATGATATTTTTTTCTCCAATTGGACCTAAAAATATCTTAATTCTCGATACAACGCATGCRCTATGCAGTGTATCCGATTTTCGAGATATTAGGTGCGCATTACGTCTGACAAAGCAATATAGGAAATAGGCTTAGAGTAATATACGAAATCAAACAATATATTCAATATTCGCGTCACGATTTATTCATAAAACAAATTAATAAATATAAAAAAGAATCTTTGAAAGAAAATAAAGACACTTTATTTCAATAATTGTTCACACAGAAAAACTTGTGTGCCTATACCTACTAATTGGCTGAAGGTTAATAATAATGAAAACAAAAATAATAATTTTAAAGAAATTTCGTTAGGAAACTAACGAAGCGTTAAGTGCCACTGAGCCGTGTCACATAACACATTAAAAAAATATTTAGCCCATAGGGTGAGAGAGGGAGATAAAAAGAAAATTGAACTATATTACATCCACAGAAACGTCGCAATGGCCGATGGAATAGTTTTCCGTCTACAATAGATGATTGAATCACATTCAAAATACGATAACACAAACAATAAACGCCGGCGGTGTAAGACATTGTTGGCTTCCATAATTTATCATCGTGACCGTCGAGATTCGATTGAGCAATGAAGATTAGCTACTAATGGCTAAAGACGACGACTTTAAATATTTGAATTGAATTCCTGTATGATATATGTATATATATTTACGATTATTGTAATTTGTGTTACAAATAGATATCAATTTTTGAAAATGCAATACCGTTTTAGTTTGTCCTTGTATTCTAATTGGATTGAAAAAATCCAAAATGGAAATAAAACAAAAATACATTAAATTATTATAATGAATAGATTTTTCACACAAGAGATTGCTTGTTTCACTGTAATTCTTCTATAGTTTTGTATTGTAATAAAAATATAACTGACTACTTACTATTACTATACTACAAATTGTTATTAATTTGTACATCAAAGTGATTTAACATATAAAGTAAAAAACATATTTTAATGCGATAATGAATACATGTTGTTAATATATTATTATAACTACTTTAGAATCTATAGAAATATAATGGAACTAAATATTATATATTATTAATTAATATAAACCGTGCTCGAATGAATTCAAAAGATTTATCACGTTAAATAATTTAGTGATATAATAACCATCAAACGAAATGAAATAATTTAATAGATTAATACCTACTTACTGGAATATTTAATTATTAAATAACCGACAACTTTAATCCTAATAATGATGCGTGCTTAATTCAGGATTTTATAAAGTATAATATATATATATATTGTACACTTGAACAGTGTACAGATTCTGATAAAAAATATGATACACATTTAGATACACAGCAAGTACAATTCCAAGGCGAAGGTAATTAATTTAATTTATAAATTATAATGTCGTGTTTCTTTTGAGTGTTTTTTTGTAGTTAACTATAATATTCACTTGGCAGGATCGTAATAATAAATATACAACCTACGAAACAAATAAGATTAGTGCAATAATTGCAATAATCACACACGTTCCTTACAAAACACGGCGCGGTGGCAAATGTCTATCAATAACAGTGAAAATGTCACGCCGTACGTGACAGCCATTGACAGCTACACCATATAGTTTGCAGCCGATTAATCGATTTTTAAACAGTTTATATGTACTAATTCCGAGCGAGTGTCAAAAATATGAAAAATGTTATCGATTAGTCTTACACGAGCCTTACAAAAATGTATTTAAAAAAAAAAAATTAAATAAATATCATATAATATAAAATATAATATTACGGCTTGTTCTATTTGCTAGATTTATTTTTGTCCGGCGTAACATTGTGCAAGTCACTCGTCACGCGCCTTTAATCTAGACCGTAWAGTCGCGGAAAGAAACGTTACACTTATAAATAATAATAATAATAATATATTGTGTTTCCTTGTCGGAAAAATATAATAATATAGTAAAAYATGGAGTAAAAAACAGAAAAAATGCTCGGCTAAACGTTTTTTTTACRTGTTCGTTGTGTTTGTGTATATAATAATTAAAAACGTGGTGAAAATCTTGCATATTTTTATCTTTCTACCGTTGCCACGAATAGAAAGCAAACGGTTTTTAATTATCGTGGTAACGATGATGATAATGATAACAATAACTACGCCTACGCGTGTTTGCGTTGTCTGCGTAATTCGGGGTAATTAAAGAAAAAAGTCGACTCTATTTTTTTAGTCTTTCTACACTCCCGCGGACCGGAACATCTGCGGTGTCGGTGTGCACGTGCAGCACCATGCGCCCACCTCCCAAAACATGGCACAAAACGACGGAYATATATTATGAAATTAATATTATATATTTTAGAAAAACTCGAAACGTCCGAAACGATCAATATTGACGCATACATTGTCTTGKTCCTATTGTACATTCAAAGTACCTATTTTAATACTTTTTTTCATCGCCATAGGCCGATTTTAAAACAAAAAAATATTGAATTAATCTAATATATTATTATATTTCGTTCCTTACACTCGAACAACAATCGAATGAGAAAAACATTCGATGTTTTTTGTGTTTGTGAATTAAACTATATCATAATATTATAGTCGTATAAAAAAATTGTGTAAACAACATGTTTTATATACATATAGACTAAGCTTTAGGATTTTCTTTGGTGTTTTTTGTTGTTGTTATTGTTGTGTAATAATAAATATACTTGTATTCGTGGCCAATGTTATTAATTTCATTGTGTTTAACCACCCCAAATTTGGTAGGGCCAAAATATACCCTTCCCTTTTCGGCCAGTGTCACTTTTCGGACAACACTTACCCTACTCTTTTCGGCCACTGTCACTTTTCGGCCAAAACTTAACGTTTACTTTTCGGCCACTGTTCCTTTTCGGCCAGCACAGTTTTCTTTAAAATTTACAATTTTACAATATTACATAATACTTTGTGAAAAAATTAATGAAATAAAATGTTATAATATAATACATTGATCAAATAAAAATATAATAATAATTAAATATGTATCTAATACTTTGTGAAAAAATAATAAAATAAAATAATTAGTAATATAGGTAGGTACAATAAATTGAATAAAAATGTTGGAATATAGTACATTAGTCGAATAAAAATAAAATAATAATTAAATATAGGTACATCTAATTTGTATTTAACAAATTTAATAATATGTTCAGTTGTTAAAATTGTAAACGGTAAGTTTTGGCCGAAAAGGGAAGGGTACATTTTGGCCAAAAAGGGGGCCACCCCATTAGGTAAATACTTATATTAGAATTGTCAAAGTTCAGTGTTAATTTTTAGTCCTATTTAGACCTAATTTTAGTCAATAATATAAACGACATTCCTTATAAAACATTCGATTTATATTTAACAATAATGTGAAACGTGAACTTAATGATAAAATATTTCACGTACACTATTTGCTATTATTCTAATACGATAGGTATATATTTTATAGGCGTCAATGTATTTGTAGGATAATCGAAAAATGTGTTAGTCCCTATCATCGATTCTCGATGATTTGCAGTTTTAATTTATTCGACCGATGTAGAAAAAACTGATACCTTTATTATGTATCGGTTTTTTTTCTTCAAAATCTTGTCAAAAGAAATGTCTTTTGTTTATTATTGTATATATTATTGATTTGTATTAAAATCAAGTAATGATTTTTCTGTGATTTCTCTAATATTTTCCTTCGAATATTTAACGCGAAAAGCTTGTCAATCTCAATAAATTTTACTTAAACTAAAATCAAGTATCAATAATCGCATGCGATGAATCAAATTATTACACGAATCCTCTAATGAATTCAGCTCATATAAATTAATTTTATAACTTTATAAGAATAAAAAAAAAACTGTACGTGGCCTATAGAATTGGAGGAATTCCTATCTATGTGACTATGTATGGGATATAAACGTTTGTAGACCATACATTTATGCGTAAGGAAAATAAATTACCCAACAACCCAACACAATATTACCTACTGGCTACTACAAGATTCAGAACGCAATAAAAAAATGTGTCACGTTCAACATTTTTATTTCAAAATAAATAAAACTATCGTTAATACTTATATTACGTAACATTTGTTTTTCAAATATATTAATTTTTTAAAGTATTGATTAATCTATAGCAATTGGTAAAATATAATGGAAAATATAGAATCTATAATGCTAAAACTGATTTCATTTATACGTATAATGCAAATGTTTTATCAGTAAAAGAATGATAGTTGGGACACATAATTCTGTGGTTGGGATACAAATTCCTACGACTCTATATATAATTTAAATGAACAAATTCATCATGTTCATTTATAAAAAAAAAATTGAGCTCCATAACCTCAAAAAAGTAAATTTTAAGTTGGCGAGGACATGTGTAGTCGATAAATTGGTAAATACGTAAATACACGAACACCCAATTCTTAAGTGTAAGAAAAATATAACGACCCAAATATTCTATATGATCATACGATACATGGATGACTTGATTATTACCATAATATGTGATGCGTGTATCACAATTTAATCATACGTAATAATATGTATCGTTTCGTGAGCAAGACATGTAGTAACGCATCATATGGCAATTAAATATACCTACGCAATAAACGTATATATTTTAACTCGCGAAAACAACAAAATACCATATAATTAACAGATAGAGGCATGGTTAAAACAAATCTAAAACGACTCACCTCCTGTCCCTGACGCGTTTTTGGGTGCCGTTCGTGCCCCTGATGGTTCTGTACAGTGACATCATATTGTCGCGGCCCGGACGTCGCACTACAACACGGCACTGCGGGTATAGTATAATAACAATGTACGCGGTGCACCGGTTGACGGCAAAAACGATAGTAATGATAATCGAGATGCAGACGATTCTACGATCCGTCCGTCAGGTGGACTGTCGTTGCTGCTGAGTCCTTTCCCTTTCGCACGATTTGGGCGTATTAGCATATATTATTTTATTTAGATGTATAACTACGGCAACAAATAAATATAACAATATCACACATGYGCTCGACGAAAACGCAATATGAATGTTTTTTATACACTTAAAAAAATAATCGCAACGACCGTGTTGGACGCAGGTACGATATAATATGGGCAATAAGCCACTGAATGACTACGGTCGAAAAGATGCACGTGTGGGGATCAATGATTATGAATGAGGCGTTAGTAATGATTATATTTCAACAATTTATAATATCGATTGCGCGGGTGGTATCGAGCGTTGTTGTCGTCGTCAACGGTAGACGGTCCGACGTTAATTATCGCACTACTCGCGCGACACGATCGCATTTTCTCTTTCGCGTGCTCGCACCCGTGCCGCCCCTCTCTGCCGACAAGCGACGGTCGCATCCACCGCTATCCACGTGCTGAGGATGTCGTCRTCCTCGCTGAACACCCCCCTCCCCCAATGGTCGTCATCATCATCATCATCATCATATGSAACCGATGGTATCTATTACGATATATATGTTTTATTACTATTTTTATTAGTTATTACTGAAATATGTGTCAATTCTTGCGAGGTTATGATGACCCAGTACGTTGATCAGTGGATGTTTTTTTTAAATATTTATGTTATATTAATATTATGTTATTTAATATTTATATTAAAACTTTAGATTATCAATGTAAAATGTTTTTGTTTTCCTGATGAGCTAGATGAAAATAATATACTTTTAGTATATTTGTTAAATCTTACAGTCGCTATCTCTATCTTATATTAAAATTATATTGGTCAAAAATTCATTGGAGAACCAAGACTTCAAAATGTTTCACTGTATATTTGCCGCCTACACTCATCCTCAAATATCTTCTATAACATTAAGTTTAATTTAGATTTATTGATATTCGGTAGACAAGGTATTAACGAAGTAATAATGGAAAGAGAATAGGGGATGCAGAGTGATACTWAAGCGCCAACACTTAGGGAACACGGTGAAGGTTAGGGAGAATATAATTAAGTTTACTACGATTGGAAACAATTACCTATATTTGTATAGGTAATAATAGACATAATTGTTTGAAGCGGAACGAATGGTCATCGATTACCCTAACTTATAACAGTAAAATGTGATTTTTACTTGAAAAAAATAAGTCTTTTTATCATCACGGTACCACACTCCTTAAGGCTTAAATATTATATGAAATCGAAAAAATAAGATCCAAATATCTGAACTTATGGTCTTCAAGTATTAAATACAAATCTACAGCCTATTYTTGGATCTATAGTAATTCCTGTAAAACAGATAGRTACTTTCTACTGACATTAAGTATTTGTTAATACAATTTACGAACCGACGATAAATGATAATCTACAATATCATATAATATATAATATTATTACCTATACTTAAAATCAAAAATATATCATAGTTACTGTATTGTTATATTAAATATTTTACACTGAAAAATCATCATACATCGGTGGCACATTACACGACTATTTTACCAAGGGCTTACAATAATAATTGTACATGCATTTTATAGAAACCTATATAGATTTAATGTTACGTATGCGTAATTCGTAAAATTGATGCAAACGTTATTGCCCATTTCGTGAAACGTACAACAACAACGCCATACGGACCGAAATATAACACACATAATAATATTATCTAATATAGGTAACAGCCGCAGGAAATATTGCTGTTTATCCCTACTAGGAACCCGTGAATAATATATAGGTGACTTATTATGATCGTCTTACCTTGACACACTTCCCCGCACATAACAATCTTCGGGAAACCGTTTCGTCGGACCGGATATATTATTATAGGCGATGATGACTGCCGCAGATGATGACTAACGAGATTCGTTTGCCGGGATTTGGTCGTATATTGTACATCACACGCGATCGCGGACGGCAAAGCGAAAAAGAATCGATCGAAAAACGTTAATATCCTCGACGGGCACACGCGAAATCGACGGATTGAATCATTTGAATCGAACAGTGACACGAAAACGGTCGTCAAAACGACAACCGCCAAACGGCAACGACTATAATAAAATTTCTATGGATCTTTTGTTGCATAAAACTACGGACCAATAGAAAATATCGCAATTATCCACTCACGACCATAATATTATGTCCATGCTCGCCGTAGACATATTAATGCTCACAACTCACGAGTTCTGTGAATAACGACATGGACCGCGGTCGCGCGTATGTTTAAGACTTCCCTGAAATAGATTAGAGTTTTCGCTAGTGCGCCCAGAAAATTGCCGCCAAAACATCGACATCACCGCCGTTACCATGGTATCAGGTTTTTGTCGAGCAACATAAAATAATATTACATATTACCTATAATTGACTATTATAAAAACAATTTTGGGGACTGCGCTCTCTGTCAAGATATTTATAGTAAATATATTGTTTTATTGTCGCATAATAATGTACCTATCAATAAAATGCGACGTGAAGTTGTGAACATTTTGTCAGAATTAAAAAAAAAAAAAAGAAAAGCTTAAGGTGGTGCGGAGACGACATTGATTATATTAGAATAAATATGTTTATACCTCATAAATAAAAGGTTAGATAACCACTAAGCAGAAGGCGTCAACACATATTCATTGAGTAGGCGTTGAGGAACGGATAAATCATTGATAGTACGAATAACGAATCTAAGTGGATACCAACGATCTATTCTGTATTTCTGTCAACTTATATTACTATAAATATACCTATATTAATATTATGTATATAATAATATTATATCTATACTAATATAAAAATCCCCAAAAGTGCCGGGTGRAAAGAGGAAATCCCCAAAAGTGCCGACCACCGGGCGCGTATCCCCTGCACAACCAGAAACTAAAATGTATACCTACCACGGTCCTTACAAAATATAAACAATTGGTTACATCKTAAATTTATGGTATAACCTCCTTGCATGACGCATAAACATTTAAATAAAATGTCTTCCATGAAATTGTTTTTGTAGAATTATAGTCTATAATTGTTGCATAGATCCCTGCATAACCTTTTCCATGAACGCAGGGGCGTGACAAAAAATARTATGTGTGAGTGTGGCTCACTTCCCGCCTTTGCCACACAATATACTATTGTCTATTACTAATGCAGTAGGGTAAATAAAATTGACGAAAACATTGCATTTCAAAATATCGTTGTCTGCATAAAATTTAATAATAGTGTCAAGTTCAACCAAATGATACTATATTGAATTACAGCTAAATTTATTATTCTTTTTTTTTATAAAACTGGTTTTGTATAAAAAATCCTTAAATTTCTTATTCTAGATTCTAAGCGGAGCAAGAAATGTATTGATTTTACTATGCTGTGTGTTTTATTTAATTTTTTTTTTGTGTCTGTCATCACGTTTTGGGGCAGTAAAAGTGCTTCGATTTTCGAATTTAGTACCTCGCTCGATCAGAAAGTGAATCTAATTAGTAATTGGTACTTTTTTTAGGGGAGTCAAAAGTAAAAAACTCTCAATATTAAAATAATCGGGATAAATAAACTAAAAATTAAGATAAAAACGGGAAATTGTACGCACAATCAGTTTTCGACAAAATCGATTTTAGTTTTTGATGTAACTTTAAAACAAATGAGTAGTGGTGTTTTGGAGGGTATACGCGGGTATACGACGTATACCCGTGAA